TCGAGGCTCAAAAACGCGTTGGGCATCGGGAGGATTCCTGAAGGTTCCTGAGGATTCTTAGGGATCCCTTTGGATTCTGGAGGATCTCTCAGCTGTCCTCAGGATTCCGGAGGATATTTCTCAGGATTCCTGAAGATCTCTCAGGAATCTTGAGGTCAGGATTCCAGAGGATCTTTCGGGATTCCCCCGGATTCCTAGGTCAGGATTCCTGCGGATCTCTCAGGATTCCCCCAAATTCCTTTGGTCAGGATTCCTGAGGACCTCTCAGAATTATTTCGGATTCCGGAGGATCGCTCAGGATTCTTGTGTTCCGCAGGATTCCTGAGGGTCTCTCAGGATCCCCTCTAATTTTTGAGGATTCCTTCCCCCGAATTCCTGCGGATTCCTGAGGGGCTCGCTCGAATTTCTCGATTCCTGAGGAGTCTTGAAGGTCTCCCAGGAAGCCCCCGAAGTCCAGACGATTTCTCTTAGGATTCTTCGAATTCCCGAGGGTCTCTTGGGATTCCCTTGAATTCCTGAATGTCTCTCAGGATTCCCCAGAATTCTTCAGGAGTTCTGAGGCTTTGAATATCTCTGCTGATCTCCCAAAAGCTCTGAATATCTGGTAAGATCCCCGGAGATATCGTAATGTCTCTGAAGACCTCGTAAGATCTCAGGAGATCTCGTAAGATTTCTGACGATCTTTGAAGATCTCGTAAGATCTTTTAAGATCTCGTGAGATTCTGAAGTGGTTGGGATTGGGACCACTTCGGGTTGCAGTCCATCTCGAACAGTTTGAATTGGGACAAGTCGGTTGGGATCTGTTTTATTTAATCGCTTCGCTCATTCCGCCGGCCCATGTAGCCTCATCTCTGGTGTTTGCCCGAGGGATCGTTGTCAATGCGGCGTTGGTGGGTTCGGGAGACTCTTGGAGGCAGTGTTGAAGCCTCTTGAGGTCTCTTGGGGGCTGTTTTGGGGGCCCTGGGGGCTTGTTTTTGGGCATCCTGGGGGCTTCTTGGGGCCGTTCGGGGGCTTCTTGGGGTTTGGTTGTGGTCTCGGAGGTGTTCCCCAGGGTGGAGAGCTCGAAATGCCTTCGTGGGGGTGTGCTGGTCGTGGATGCTCACTCTGGGGCTTGTCGATGGGGGGAGGGGACATCTGATGCGATGATGGAACCCTCGTGTCCGAGGGTGGCGGACTTTGAATGCGATCATGTGTTTTTCTTGTCCTGGTGTGCGCTGTCTACCTCCCGAGGCTCGTCACTTCTTACGTTCTCCCTCTTCTCGCAGTGTGTCCCTGGGCTTGTGTGTGGGGGTAGGCTATTGGATGGAGAGCGTGAGCGGGAGAGACAGATAGCTGGAGGAGGTGGAGGCGGAGAAGACATAGGATGAGTGAGACTGCATGGTAGAGCGAGGAGCTGCAGCGGGAGTGGGGGGGGGATGGGATGGCGGATGTGTAGATCGGCGGCGAGGGAGGGAGGCCCAGGGAGCATGGAAGCCCGGGAAGTCGGGGATCTTCTGACCCGGGTCAATCCAGACCCGGGTCAGAAGGAAACCAACAAAAATTGCAGTGCGGGACAAACATTGCAACGCAGGTCTTCGCAAACCCGGGTCTTCCAATATGCGCTGCCGCCTCGCGGCCACGAGCGGCTCGCTAACTTGGGTCAGCCAGAGGGGGTCTTCGCAGGATCCTGCAGGATCCGGTGCCCTGGCTGACCCCCGTTTGCATTGACCCCCGTCTCTTGAGCCCCGATGGATCATGGAGGAGGGAAGAGGGTGGACGAGGAGGAGGAGGAGGAGGGGAAGGAGGAGAATGAGGAGGAGAATGATCGCTAGCACTTCCTTGGGTGCTGGGGGGGCATTTGGGAGGCTTCCTGGGATCGCTAGGGGGCCTCTAGGGGGCCTCTTGGGAGCTTCCTGAGGGCCTGTCGGGCGCCTCTAGGGGGCCTCTTGGGGGCCTCTTGGGGCCTCCTGGGGGCTGGTGTCTCGCAATTTTTTTTCGTTTTCCCTTTCTGGGACCCCTGCATCCTTTCCAACACAGAGTTTGTATTGTGTCGAAGAGAAATTGGAGGGGATGAGGAGGAGGAGGAGGAGGTGGGAGGAGGAGGAGAGGGGAGGGAGGAGGAGTAAGGAGGATAAGGAGGAGGAGGAGGAGGAGGGGGGGAGGAGGAGGAGGAGGAGGGGGGAGGAGGAGGGAGGAGGGAGGATGGAGGAGGGAGGAGGGAGGAGGAGGAGAAGGATGATGATGATGATGATGATGATGATCGCTGGCTGGTTGAGTGCTCGGGGGGCATTTGGGATGCCTCCTGAGGGCGCTTGGGGGCCTCTAGGGGGCCTCTTGGGGACTTCTTGAGGGCGTCTTGGGGGCGTCTTGGGGGCCTCTTGGGGCCTCTTGGGATCCTCTTGGGGCTTCCTGGGGGCCTCTGAGGGCCCAGAGTTCGAGATTGTGTTTCGTGCTCCCTTTCTGGGGCCCCTCTTGAAGCATTCTTGGGGCCCTCTTGGGCCGTCTTGGGGGCTTCTTGGGCCGTCTTGGAGCCGTCTTGGGCTGTCTTTGGCTGTCTTGGGGCCCTCTTGGGCGCTTCTTTGGCCCTCTTTGGGCGATCTTGGGGGTCTCTTGAGCCGTCTAGGGGCGTCGGGAAGCCGAAAAGGTGGAAACTCCCAAATCTGTCCCAAACCTAAGGGAACGCAATGAATTTTGCTTCTGTGGGTTCTCTTGGGAGTGCTCCTGGAGGCCTCTTGGGGCATCTTGGAGGCCTCTAGGGCCATTTTGGAGGCCTCTTGGGCCGTCTGGATGCCAGCTTCGCCGTCGTGGAGCGATCTTCGGGTGTCTCGGGCCTCTCTTGGACCGTGTTCAGTGCCTCTTGGGGCCCTCTTGGGGCGATCCTGAGAGCCCTGAGGGAGTCTCCCGGGCCGCGCCCGGGGCGCGCCCGGGGTACTTTTGGTCCGGGGACCCCCAGGGGCCGCCCCGCGCGCGCCAAGTAGAAATATTTTATAGATGTTACCGGAGATCTGAGCACGCCTCTGGCCCGTTGGGCCTGCGAAGTTTCTGGTTGGAACCCCTCTCCCCTTTTGGGAGGGGTGGGTGGGGAGTGGGGACGGAAGGGTAGGGGGAGGGGAGTCCCCCTGGTTCTGATCGACGGCACCAGTAGCGTCTCTCGCATGCGTTCCCCGCACCATTTTCGGCATACACACACACACCTCTCACGTTTCGTGGCCCTATGGGGAATTCCACCGAAGGCCCCAGCGGCAGTTCTCTCATGCACCCCCCGCACCCATGTCTGTACACATCTCACACGTTTCGTGGCCCATTGTGGGTTCCACCGAAGTCAATACCTACAGCCGCGGTGCCCACATCTGTATATGGTTAGGTCTTTCGCCCGGAAATATTTTTTTTGTTCTGGCGCCTGCGGAACTGTGGGTACCATCCTGCGTGGATCTTCTGAACCTTGTAGGCCCTGCGGGGAGTGATAGGGAAGGGCCTGTGTCCAGTTCGGCAAAGCACCGCACCGCACACATTAAGCTAAAGGGCAAGAGAGCGCCGTCCAAACAGCCTGCACACCGTGACGGTTATCATTTTCATTGCCACGTTGTTGGAGGAAGGGGGATCGAGATTTCAAATGAGAAGGAGGAGGAGGAGAAGGAGGAGGGATAATGAGAAGCAGAAGGAGGATGAGTATGAGGAGCAGGAGCAGGAGGAGGAGGAAGGAGAACGGAGGAGGTTGGATGATGATGATGTTGATGATGATGATGATGATGATGATGATGATGATGATGATGATGATGATGATGATGATGATGATGATGATGATGATGATGATGATGATGATGATGATGATAAGGAGGAGGAGGAGGAGGAGGAGGAGGAGGAGGAGGAGGATGTGGACAGGAGGGAGCAGAATGGAGGGTGAAAGGGGCAGAGAGGAAGGATAACGAGGAGATGGCTATCGAAGATGGCATACTCGAGCCCGCGTCCTTGAATCCTGCGTTAAATCCCCCCATCGTTACAACAAACCTCCCCTCACCTTGATGCTGCCTGCCTGCCAGCACCGGCCGCTTGTGTCCATCTGGAGGTGATTGCGAAGGCCTTACGGCCGGTGCCGCCGACCCTGAAGACGACGAAGGCGAAAGGGAGCGAGGGGGTGCAGGGGGAAGAGGAGGAGCGGAAGGAGGAGGAGGAAGGAGTGCAGGAGGTGGATGAGGGAGGAGGAGGGGGGGGAGGAGGAGGAGGAGGAGAAAGAGGAGGAGTAGGGGAGGAGCCTCTTGGAGCCTTGGTGGGGGTGTTCTTCCTCCTGGGACGTCTAGAAGGCTTCGTGGAGCGTCTTAGGGCCATGTTTGCCGTGCTGGGCCGACCTTTGAGCGACACGGGGCTCTTGTGGGCAATCTTGGGAGCCATCTTCGGCATTCTGGGTTCTTTTTGGGGCTGTTCGACATGTCGGGCCGCCCGTGGGAAAACGAATCTGGATGGCGACCCCCCCGCAGGACCACCCCCCGGACCCCCCCCCCGCGGGGAAGGGATCAAAGGGCAGGGGCTGCCCTTCGACTCCAATACGACGTTGTACAATTTCGCTTTGGATGGCACGCTTGAGGAGGGCCCAGGGAAAGGGACGGGGGACGACGGATACGGCGTGGAGACGACTGTGATGACGACGCAGACGACGAGGAGACGACGGAGACGACAATTCGAACGGAGAAGCCCCTCGCACACGCCGACAGGGTCGGCGGGTTTCTTTTTCATTGCCCTCATGAGTTCAAGCGATCGCTGGCTTCGCATCTTAGCTGACGAGACACGGGGTCCAATCAGCACCCCCATGCAGCGGCTCAGGGTCCAGGAACGAGCCACAGTAAGTGCAGTGCGGCCAAGACGCGCGCACCCGCACACTGACAGTGATGGTATCGATGGCAATGTGGCTTCCGAACGATGCAGTCGCCCCGCTTTCCCAGCGCCTGCAGCCTGCAGTCACCTCCTGCCCCCCCGCCGTCTGGATGCCCACGTGCTCGCAGTGCTGGCGCGCGCGCGCGCGCCAGCAAAAGACTTCTACCTCCGGCGGCAGATGTCCAGCGAAGGCCGCAGGGAGGGGGCGGCAGACCGGCTGCAGACCACAGGGCCGCGGGTCCCTCCCCGTATTCGGGCGTGGCTTCTTTTGGGGGCTCCTCCCCCGCCGCGCTCCGTCCTCGCATCCCTTCCGTCCCATCCCGTTCCAGCCTCGCTGGGTGCCCTCTTGGGACCTCGAGGACTCCGGGGCATGCCAGATGACATCATGGAGCCCTAGCGGGCTGGACGCCGAAGGCATGGAAAACTCGGGTGTTGCCGCTGAAGGGCCCGTTGGAGGGCTCCTTGGCTCGCCCCACAGAGGTTCGAATGATGATGAGGAGGAAGAGCCGAAGTGAGGGAAGGATCAAGGGGTGAATTGGATGGAGAGGACGAGGGGAAGGGGAGGGGGACGGGGAGGGGGATGAAGAGCAGGAGCAGGCGCAAAAGGCAGAAGCAGGAGGAGGAGGGGATTGAATTGGAGGAGGAGGAGGACGACGATGGGACCGGTGGCGGGGTCACCGCCGCGCGTCTGCCCGCGTGGCGGGTCGGCCTTGGCAAAGGAGCTGGCCCGACGAAAGCCATATTCAGATGATATGAACACGTTTACGGTCAATGTGTGGGCGGAGGGGTAATGAGCGAACGTTGGCCGCATCAGAATGCATGGCAGCCTTTGTGGATCAGGGTCTTGAGGGCCTGGGATGCTCCCTGCTTGCGCCACCGCGCGCTTCGCCGCCCCGCGGGCCCAGCAGCCTCGGATCTGCGGCTGGTGCACCGGGCGCCTCGCCGAGGGCGCGAGTTTGGCCCTCGCGGAGGGCGGCGCGCTCCTGGAGGTGTGCGAGCTGTGCTACCTCCTCGCGCTGGCGCGGCAGGGGGCGCGCGAGGCGCGGCTGGCTCCGCAGGAGCGGGCGCTGCTCGTTGAGCAGGCGCGGCTGTTGGCGGCGCAGATTACGGCTCTGTCGACCTTGTCGCCCGATGCCGCCCAAGGCCAAGGCCAAGGCGAAGGCGAAGGCTCTTCCTGTGCTTCCCGCTGCCGCCAGCGGCCGAGGCGCTGGACATGGCGGAGGACGGCGCGCTCGCGGGCGCGCAGGCGCGGCTGCTGGAGCGGCAATGGCGCCCGTCGGCCTCGGAGGCGGCCTCGCGCCCGCGGAGGCGCTGGAGGCGGCGCGGCTGGTGCGCCGGTGGTGCCAGGGCTCGGCGGCTTCCCTGGTTTGCCTGGAGCCCTTGGCGCGGGCGCCGCGGGCGCGCCCCCCCCTGTCCTCGGGGCGCCTGGCGACGGCGCTGGCGGTGGCGGCGGTGGCGGCGTCGTAGCGGCGCTGGTAGGCGCGCTGGCCGCTGCTGGCGCTGGCGGAGCTGGAGGCGCAGGCGCGCCGCCTGGCGCGGGGCCCGCAGGACCGGGCGCTGCCCTCGGCGTGTTGGGAGGTGCGGTCGCCCCGGCTGCAGGAGTGCAGCTTGGCGGGCTCGTCGACGGGGCCTGGGCGCAGGCAGCCGCCCTCGTCGGGGCCAACTGGCGCCAGGGCCTGGCCGTCGAGCTGCCGACCCACGACGTGGCGGGGGCGATCAGTGGAACCGCACTGTTCGAGATCGACGAGGTCGGCGTGCCCGGTGCTGGAGGCCAGTATCTGAGCGCGCAGTTCAGGGGCGCGTCCTTGCCTGCTGAGGCGATGCGCTTTGACGGCGCCTTCCCTCCGCGCGGCGGCGGTCCCGCTGGGCTGCTGCACCTCTGCGCGCAGGGGCCTGCGCGGTGTGGCGAGCCTGCGCAGGCAGGGCGCGCCGTCCTGCACGTGGAGTGGCTTCGGCTGCGCTCGACGCACGGCCTGGTGGAGCCTTGGGTGCGGCCGAGCGCCTTCGGCTGCCGTGGTGGCGGAGCTGGTCGAGGCGGTCCCGCTCCTATCCCTGGCGGACCCGCCGCCGACCGCCTGGCAGCCGCAGCAGCTGCCCGCGCGCTTGCGGTCGGAGGCGGTGGCGGCCGCGGCGTGGCTGGCCGCGGCAGGCGACGGGCTCGCAGCGAGTCTGGCAGCCGCAGCGACGGCGAAGGCGAGCCGCGTTTTCGAGATGCCCCCTCTCGCGGCGCCAGCGTACGGCTGCTGGCGGAGAGACAGCCTGGCGCCCTCTACGACGAGGCGGTGCAGAACATCGCCCGCGTCATGGGCCTGCGGGAGGGGGCGGGCGGTTCCGAGACGAGGCCGAAGGTGGTCGGCTACTTGCAGGCCATCGTGTTCGGCCACCACCCCGTGTCCCAGCTGCGGATCAACACGGTGCGCGAGCTCCAGACCTTGGCGACGGCGCTGGACCAGTTGGAGAGCGGCGCTCTGCCGCAGTTGAGCGACGTGCTGATGCAGAGGTTCAAGGCGCTAGAGCTCTCTCTGTCGGACGCGGGCTGGCAGGTTGCGAGCGAGCTCGAGATTGTCCCAGACGTGAGGCCGTCGCTGGCGTCGATGGACGCGACGCCACCGACCGGATGAAGGCCGACATGGTTGCCGAGCTGCGCGAGAGCGGCCCCCCCGTCCACGAGGAGGAGGACGCCGCCTTTCAAGCGCAGCTGCTTGGCTGGGTGATCGACGGCGCGAGGGGCGCTGTCTCGCCGACGCCGCGGGGCGCCTGGCGCCTGATCCCCGCCGCGCGGGCGTTGCTCGCCATGCCGAAGGTCCCGGCCCAGCAGGTGAGGCGGGCGGTGGGTCGCTGCATTTTCCTCTCCCTCATGGTCAGGCGGCCGCTCCCGGTGATTTTCTCGGCCGCGCGCCGCTTCATCGCCAAGGCGGGGGGGGCCCGCGGGAGTGGTGGCCGAGCGTGCGCCGGGAACTGCAGTGGGCCACGGGCGTCGCGCCGCTGGCCGGGGCTCCGCGCGGCAAGGCCGAAAGCGGTGCGCGGGCGCCTCCGAGTGGGGCCCAGAAGTGCGCGAGCGCGACCTCGACAAAAGTGCGGCGCATCAATTCGGGGGGGCCCAGGAGCGCCGGCGCTTCCGAGATCCTGCCGCGAGAGGCCCCAGGGGGCAGCTCATCGCCGCCTTGGAGCCCGTGGAGAGCCCTATTGACGTCGAGCCGCTGTCGAAACCTTGCGGCGCATTCAAAACCGTCGGCGTCGGCGAAACCCATCGGCAACGTGGAGATCGGCAGCAAACCGGTCGAAGCTCGAGAGTTGCACCACCCTGCCGTCGGCGAGCCCGTCGACCTCGGGCCCCCTCGTGGACCTCGACAGCAGCAGCGGCCCACTACCTTCGAGCCTCTGGAGATAGAGGATGTCTCGGGCGAGCGGTTTGTCGTCTCCAGCGGGGCCCGGGAGCGGGAGGGGCACGTCGTTGCTTCGGAGGGAATGGCATCCATCCGCGCGCTGAAACGCGTTCTTCGCGATTCGAAACAGCATGGCCATCGTGCCCTTTTTCAATCGGACAGTCTTGTTGCCGCCCTGGCTCTCTAGAAGGGCCGCTCATCGCGGCCGAGGATGCCCCGCATCTGCCGCCAGTGGGCCGCCCTGACCGTAGCGGGCGGCATCCTCGCGGCGCTGCGCTAGGCCCGTTTTCCGAGGCGAACCCAGCCGACCTGCCGTCCCGCGCGCCCTTTCTAGAATGGCGGTCGGCCCCAGTGGGGCGCAGTCGTCAGCCTGGCCGCTGCGCAGGGCCCCGGCTCCGCAGGCGACGGCGGCGCAGGCCGAGGCGCGGGCCAGGGCGCCGAGGGCGCCACGGGCGCCCAGCTCCCAGGCGGAGCAGCGTCGGCGCCCCCTCGGCGCCGTCGGCGACTGGCCGTGGCAAGAGGGCGAAGGCGGCGGAGGCGGTGGCCAGGCGCGCTGGGAGGGCTGCAGCGCGGGTTCCCGAGGCGACAGCCCTGCGGGCCTCAGCGGCTCTCTCGGTCACCGAGACCACGAGGGCCAAGTACCTGGGCCTGTGGGACGAGCCCTCGGCCTGGTTGAGGACCGCGACCGTGCCGCTGCGGACCGGGACAGCCGACGACCTGCTGGCCCAGTGGATGGGTCATCAGTATGCCGAGGGCTGGAGCCCCGAGCGGGGCGCCTGCATGCTGGCCGCGCTGAGGTTCATGATGCCGCAGTTGTCGCGAGGGGGGCCCGGGCTGCCGCGGGCGCTGCATGCCCTACGGGGCCGGCGGAAGCGGGCGCCCGCCCGCGCCAGGCTGCCGCCGCCGCGGGAGATCGCGGCGCTCATCGCGGCGAAGCTGGTGGACATCAGCCATCTTCGGGCCGCGATCTACGCGCTGGTGGCCTTCGCGGGGCACCTGGGGCCGCCAGGGGCCCTCCTGGCGCTGGGGGCCCACTTGGTTCCACCGACGCCCGGAGGCGCGTGCGACGGATGGTCGCTGGTGCTCCACCCACGAGAGCTGGCGGTGCCAAGCAAGACGCAGGTCAACGACGAGGTACTCCCTTTTGACCTGCCGTCCCGCAGCTTCCTGCCCGATGCCTTCCGCAGGCTGAAGGCGTCAACCCACCCGAGCGCGCAGCTGTTCCCGTTGTCGTTCGAGGAGGTGAGCGCCGCGTTCAGGCAGGCGGCAAAGGCCGTCGCTGTTGTGGCGCTAGCGCCGCAGCTGTACCAGCTTAGGCATTCAGCGCCGTCGGTGGAGGTGGCCATGCACTTGCGAACGTTGGCCAGCGTCAAGCTGCGTGGACGTTGGCGGACCGACGAGTCGGTCGCCCAGAACCTCATGCCGGGGCGCGTCAACGAGCAGTTGCAGAGGCTGGCGCCCGCCGTGCAGCGCGCCGCCCTGCTGGCCCCCGCTCGGCTGGCCTCTCTCCTCAGCTGGCGCTGGGGAAGCTGCTGGGCCCGCGCCGCAGGCGTTTCCTGGCGCCGCCCATCTTCGTGGAGGTTTTTGCGGGCGCGGGCGCGCATGCCGCTGCGCTGCGCAGGGAGGGCTCGCTCGTCGTAGAGCGGGACATCGCCCGGGGCCCCTAGTGGGACCTGACCGTCCCGAAGGTGGCGCGGATGCTGCGGGGGCGGCTGGACGCTGGACTGATCTGAGACCTACACTTTGGCGTCCCCCGCCAGACGTGGGCCCAGATCAGAGACGCTGGCCCGCTGCGCGCGCCAGGTGGGCCAGGCTCTTGGCCCAGCAGACTGAGGTCCGACAGCGAAATCTGTGGCCCGGCGGCAGAGGCGCGCCCAACGGACAGAGTGCAGACCGCGCTAGCAAACAGACTTGTCAGATGTTGTGAGGTGAGAACCTCTCGAACAGTTGCAGGCGCATGCAGACACCGTTCACTGTCGAAAAACGTTTTATGTCTAGGCTCTGGCAAATTCCCTCGCTACAGCGTCTTCGGAGGCAGCCTCATCTGTTTTGGGGTGTCACCCATTATTGCCAGGACGGAACCCAGTGGGAAACGCTGGCTGGCATCCTCGGGTTCCGCGTTGATGTTGTGGCGTTTGTTCGCCTGTGCAGTGGCTCTCGCACTTGCTGCAGCAGGACTGGCAGGCCTCATCATTTTCGTAAAGGTAGAGAGCTCTGGGAGGGCCCCTGTGGACTCCAGTGGCTCAGCCCTGCCCGCGACGGCTCGCTGCTAGATGGGCGAGAGCGCTCATCAACGCCCGTCTGCAATCCAGTGCGCTTTCGCTGTCATCCGTCTGGCTTGGCTGCTGACTAGAGAGGAGTCGTCCTTTTTGGTTTAGTTCGAGATGCGTTGGCCGTGGGGCTTTTTGGCAGAGGAGAATTCGTCTTATGTAATCGTCCCTGCGTCGAGCCCCAGTCGTGTCACGGTGCGGGCGCTTTGCTCTTGAACATAATCCGACTGCTTTTTCTGGGAAGCCATTTGCGGGCATGGTCTTTTCAATTGAAGTCGAATGCGTTTAGAGGGGGGAACAGAGGCCGAAGCTTGCCTTCCGAAGCCTTCGGCTCTCGTGCTCCCACCCTCCCGTCCCGGGGTCCCGCTGCAGAACTTTGCCGTGGCCGTGGGGCCCTTTGGCACAGAAGAACTCGGTTGTGTTATCGTCTCTGCGTCGGGCCCCAATACTGTCACGGTGCAGGATTTTTGCTTTACATATAATCCGACGGTTCTCGGAGAAACCATTTGCGGGCATAGTATTGATGCGGATGGTGATGGTGACGGTGATGGTGATGATGATGATGATGATGATGATGATGGTTTGTTCTCACAATGACGATAGAAATGATGGTGTTGCTGATGTTGCTACTGATGTTGGGTATGATCATGATGAGGATGGAGATGGCGACGGCGATGTTGAGGATGCGAATGAAGATGCGGATTGCGAATATGATGGTGATGATGGTGATTCGGATTATGATGATGATGACGATGATGAAGGTGCGGATGATGAAGAAGATATTGGTGGTACAGGTAACGGTGTTGGTGATGATGATGGTGATACTTTCGGTTATGATGATAATCATGATGCTTGCAGGTGTTGGTGATGATGGCTGGTATGGGTGACTCTGACGATGATATTGATGCGTATGATTGTGCGAATGATGAGGACGAGGAGGATGTGGATGTTGATGACTTTGAGGATGATGGTTTTGATGCTGATGACGATGATGTTGGTAATGATAATGATGCGGAGTGAGGTGGTGATGATGAGTATGATGTTGACGATGCTGCTGACGATGCCGATGATTATTATGCTGCTGGATATGATGATGGTTGTCGTGACATGTATGAAAATGGGGTGGCCATGAAGATGGTGATGCTGTTGATGATGGTGGTGACGATGACGATGGTGAAGATGATGACGATTATGATGATGGTGATGAGGACATAAGTGGGGCAGGGGCATGTGTGGGAGGGAGCAGACGGGGGAGGAGAAGGAGAGGAGAGGAGGAGTGGAGTGGCGCGGGGTGCTGTCTCTTCAACACAGGTCCCACCGCAACACGTTCCTGGTTGGCTGCTGGTGGCCTGGGGGAGGGGGTGTTCATTCATAAGGAACAGTGATCAACCTCTTGGAAGAGGAAGCCCCCTAAACCGCCCACGCCGCACAGGTGTCGTGGGATTCTTCCTACAGTGGCCTCCAGGGTTCTGTGCGCCCCTGCCCTGGACTTTGACTGCCGCCGCACGAGGCTACGTCTCACTCATCACCCTGAGCGGCTTCGCGCGGGTGCGGCAGTTGGCGGCACGCGCCCCTTTCCGCGGCCGCGCCGCCTCAGGGGAGGTGCGAGGGAGGCGGGTGGCAGGAGGGAGGGCGGCAGGGAGGGAGGGAATTGGGCTGATGGAGGCAGGGCGCAAGTCAGCAATTGGCAAGTGCAACGCCGCTCGAGCATTGATGGCACCGGAGAAGTGGCCGTCCCGTGCCAGGTATGCAGGCTCGATCATATTGGGCTCTAGTGAAGTGCAACAATTCTGGGTCTTCTTGCCTGGAGGTGTCTGACTGACTACCGAATAGCTCCCTTCACTGCTTGTGCCCTGAGTCGGTATCTCTTCCGTGTCACAGTCGTGGTCTCTCGTGCCTTTCCCGCGAGTTTTGCAAGCGTGGTGGCTGCCAGGAAGCTCTTCTCTCTGGTCACAGGGGAAGCCGCCTGACGAGGTCTCCGATATGCTGAGTATGAAAATTCCCAGAGGATATCTTTCTTGGAAATCAGACACCAGCACTATTGGAGGAAAGCCGTTGAGGAAGTAACTCAATCAGGCCGCAGGTTTAGCGGCCGTGCATTTTGAAGTCAACATCCTGATTCCCTCCGTAGGCTGCCGCTGTTGTTGTTGGCCGGCGTCGTATCTCCTCACTTTCCATCCCCGTGTTGCCTGACAGAGGGTGAGGACTACGGCATTCACGCGCGCGCGTGAGCACGCGAGCAAGACGGCCAGAGGGCAGCCGGAGGGCAGGATCACGAGAATGAAGAAGCAGGTGTTGTTCCACTCTCGCGGTCCCTCCCGTCCGCCCGCCTCTCATCTCATCTGCCCCATTTCGTCCGCCCCGCTCACACTTGCCCCCTCCTCCAGTCCTCCCCCCGCCTCGCTGCTACCCGCCTCCCGCATGCTTGCCGCAGATCTCTGCCCGCCGCCCGCCTGCTTGCTGGTGGCCTTATTTCTTTATTTTTGTTATCAGTATCTGGCTGGCGTGTTGTCCCTTGCGGGACTCTTCTGATCCAAGCTGTACGATGCGCAAGCAAAAGGGTATGGACAGATTGCCCCGTTATTGCCCGCTCCCCCCTCTGCATCCCCCGCCACCCCCACAGCCGATGAACGATGGCGGCACGGGCATTATCGGCCTCCTGGGCCAGGCCTGTGACCTGCGGAAGCATGGCGGAGTTATGCGAGAGGAAGAGATTGAGAGAGACAAAGGGCGAGTGAGGGTGAGGATGAAGTCAGAGGACGAGAGTGGTACACCAGGTGAAAGACGTGGTTGCCGCAGTCCTTGCCTCTCCCCTCTATCACAGACGCCCACCACGAGACAACCAGGACTGCAGCAGAGGCGACAGCTGAGTTGGTTGAAGGAGGAAAATGACCAGCGCAAGGAACACAAGCATGATCAGAATCACGAGGATGAATAGGACGAGGGGGAAAGGGAGGGGAAATGGAATGACGCACGGTGTGCGGGCACCGCGGGCCTGTCTTAGCGTCTGCGAAATGAGTGTGGGTCGTCATCGTCCCTCCTCCTCCCTATCTTGTCCTATCGCGCCCATCGATCCACAGCTTAACGGACTAAAATCAGTAATGATATGATATACCCATCACGGGTGATGAGATCGATCTGTTGGCATCACTATCTTGTTTGCCTGAAACCGTATTCCTCGGGCGAGAGATTCCTTCGGCTCTTTATCACCTACATGACAGTGCACGGCCTCCAGGAGTGTGGACTGATACGCGCGCACATGTCGATGGTTCTTCACATCCCATAGGGGGTGCGTGCACAGTAGTGACTTAGCGGGGTTTGGGGTGTCGGTCTCATCGATCCATGTTGCCGTTGCTCCGAAGTCATCCTGGCTCGAAGGGTTCTGGCACCGAATGCAGTCGGTGATCGGGGTCGTTCTAGCCACACTTACTATCATCCTGCGGGACGCCGCCGAGCGCCACTGGAGCCGCGGACCTCTCGTGCCCGATACCTCTCCCGTGGTGGGAGAGCCGTCGCCCGTGCCTGTTGCGAGGGTGGAGGTCTCCTGTTCTGAGTCCTCTCTGAACATCGGCTTGGTCGAGGACATCATTCGACGGGTACGGTCAGAGGGCTGCGTGTGTGGCTGACCTGCGACTCGACGGAGCGGGACACTCGCCTCATCTTCGTTGCGACCTTCTCGATCTGTGCTGGGCAGTCCTGCATTCTCGTGCTTTACTGCGGCTGGCGTTGGGCTTGCGCGTGGCGACATGGCTCTGGTGGTGTCTCGTCGAGAGCGGCTCGGGGACAGGAAGGCCACTTTCGGTGCAGGAGTTGTCGAGTAGTTTGCTCCCAGGACGGATCGTGGCCATCAGGTACCCTGGCGAGGACCTCTGGCATGAGAGAGTTGTGATGGGCCCTGGGCTGCGCGATGATGCGGGAGTCGTGACCAAGTGGTGGATCCTGACACCCGATGGGGATTTCTATGAGGAAGACATCTCCATGGAGGCGAGCGAGGGCGAGAGGATCGTGATGCTCGACCTGGCTGGCTCCTGTCCTCGCGCCGTGCGCGGCAGGTTCTATCGGTTCGCAGGCGACGCATACCCCAGCGATGACCGTGTCCGCCGCGAGGCCCAGCAGGCTGTGGCGAGGATGCGGGCCGGTGGGCAGGAGCCTCCCACCTTGCTGCACTTCGTGACGGAGGACGGCGTCTTGGCCCCTCTTCCGGGTGTCGGCCGACGGCTCCGCCGAGGGGGCGCTGCTGGCGTGGGGGGCGGCGGTGCGGGGGCGGTCGACCGCCAGCCCCGAGCTGCCCGTGCCGCCTGAGGCGGCGCCACCTGGCGGTGATGCCAGGCCTGTCGCGGGCGAGGCCGTGGCGCCCTACCTGGCCGTGCTGCCCGAGCGCCCAGCCCTCCGCGAGGATCTGGTCTGGCTGGTGACCGAGAGCGCCGATGGCCACGAGACGCCGGGCATGGAGGTCACCCTTCGCGCTGGTGACGTGATCATCACGGCGTCGGACTGCCTGGTCTACAGGCACGGCAGTATCCTCCGTGTCCAGGCGGTCCCGGGCCGCGACTGCGTGGAGTTCGTGAGGGCGCTGAGGGCACGATATGAGGGGCTCTCTGGCGCCGCAGGGCCCGCTGCCCTGGCTGCTCCACGCGCTGCTGAGCAGGCCCCTTCGGATGAGGACGTCCGAACGCTGTGGGTCGACTGCGACGAAGTGGGAGAGAGGTACAAGAGCTGGAAGAAGGCGGTGCAGGAGAGCAGGGAGGAACCCATCACCGCCGTGGAGGTGCAGGGCCCACCAGGCACGCTTCACCTTGCCCGCCACGTCGAGCGACACGGTGGCGACCCGCGGTGCTGGTGGCAGGAGTTCGCGCGCAGCAGCAACATCTCCAAGACGGATCGGGTCCACCATGAGATGACCACGTTGACGGAGAGTTTCAAGTTGTTCGGCGAGTACGATCAGCTAAACCTGGGCGCGTCTGCGGGCATCGAGAAGATGGCGCGGCGCATGCTGGGCGTGATAGACGCCTACTCCATGGTGCGGGTGGCAGGAGTTCGCGCGCAGCAGCAACATCTCCAAGACGGATCGGGTCCACCATGAGATGACCACGTTGACGGAGAGTTTCAAGTTGTTCGGCGAGTATACACCTGGGCGCGTCTGCGGGCATCGAGAAGATGGTGCGGCGCATGCCGGGCGTGATCGACGCCTACTCCATGGGCAGCGGGGCGCCGTCCTGGCGCATGGCCGCCGCGTGCGAGGGCGAGGCGAGCCACGGCGACGCCATTGCCCCCGCTCTGCGGAAGTGGGGGGTGAACCAGCTGAAGGACCAGGCGGAGATCGAGAGCACTCGGACGCGCCAGCTGCGGCCTGCGGCAGAGGGCGCCGATGCGGGGGGCGGCCAACGCGTCGCCGACGGCGGACGAGGCCGCGGAGGCGGCGGTGATGCAGGTCGGGGCGGGCGGGGCGGCAGATGCTCCGCGGCCCCGATGGATGGTTGACCAGGATGACGGGCTGTGGACAGGCCCTCCACGCCACAGCCCGCTGAAGGTGGGGGATTTTCGGGCGCCCGGTCGCCCGCGCCGCCTTTGAGCAGTTTCCGCTGGCTCCTCCTCGGCGCGAAGATGCACCTGCTGACGGCGGCCGCCGTCGTGGGCGCTACCGCGCTCGCGATCACATGCGCCAGTTGGTCGAGGCATTTTCCAGTGCACTTCATTGGTTTGCAAAGACCGCCTCCCGCTGCCCTGCGGGGGTCCGAGGTCGCCCAGGCCCCGTCCTCAGTGGATGTGACGCCTCCCGTCAGGCCCCCCTCTCAGTTGGATGAGAGCCCGGCGCACTTGGAGTCGCTCGCCGAGCTTCTGGTGCGCGAGGGGGCTCGGGATTTTTATAAGCCGCCAGAAGTGGCCCATCGGGAGTTGCTCTGTGAGAAGGCGTCTGGCTACAGGATGGACGCTTCTTCGACTACGCTCGCGCCGTGCCAGCGCGGTCGGGCCTCTTTGCCCGAGAAGAGGACCAGCGCCCCGAATGTCTCGGACTTAGGCGGGGACCGTGGCCGATATTTTCTGGAGGGCGCAGGGGGGCGCATGCTGCGCCCGACCTTCAGTGACAGTTCTGATGATGACGCTGAGCGCTGTTATGTGGATCAACAGCTCGCCGGCAGCCCCGCGCTCTTCGCCCGTTTCATCCGTGGCCTCAAGGCCAGGAACATGCTGGTCTTCGGCGGATGGGCTCATGAGTGTACTAGTCTCTTTGTTGTTCGCAAAGAGAACGGCAAGCTCCGCCTCGTCCTCGACGCGCGGCGGACCAACAGGCGGTTTGCGCCGCCGCCGCGCGTCGATCTGTCGACGGCCGAAGGTCTCGGTCGGACCGAGGTTGAGCTCCCCAACGGTCAAGAACAGTCTTCGCTTTTCTGTGGCGCTGCTGACGTCCAGGGTTTTTTTTTTGGGATGGGCATCCCGACCTGGCTCTCTCGCTGGTTCGGTTTGCCCCCCGTCCGCGCTGCCGACGCGGGGCTGACGGACGCCCTGGATGGCCCAGTCGGGCCCGACGAGATGGTGGCGCCTATGCCTCGGCGTCTGCCCATGGGCTTCTCGCGGGGCCTGTTCTTGGCGCAGGACATCAACGAGGAGGTGGCCTGCCAGGTGCTGAGTCGCGCCGAGCCGCTTCGCGATCGGGGCCAGCCCCTGGCCCCCACGCTGCGGGGCGAGGCCGCGTCGGACACCAGGCGCTACATCTACGTCGACAACATCGGGGTCTCCGGGTCAGACGGCAGCGTGTCGGCATCGAAGCTTGAGGACGTCTGCGCGGCCTTCGAGGCGAGGGGCCTCGCCGTGCACGAGGTGGCCGCCTCCGACTCGAGCGTCGAGACGCTGGGGGGTGGGGGGTGCTCCTCGACTGGCGACGGCGCCACACGAGGCTGACAGCCAAGCGCTTCTGGCGCGTCAGGGGTGCCTTGCTAGCCTTGGCAGGGCGCCGTCGCGCCTCTGGGCGCCAGTTGGAAATCGCCCTCGGGCATGCCACCTTCTGCGGGCTGGCGAGGCGCGAGACGTTGTCGGTGTTCGCGGCGGTCGGCCCGTTCATCAGGCGGCGCTACGACCTGCCCACGCCCCTCTGGCCCTCCGTTTCCGACGAGCTGCGCGCCTTCGCGGGCTTGATGATCCCCTTGGTCTCTAGCTGGGAGTCGGATTGGACCCCCCTCGTCGCGGCCACCGACGCTTTGGGGACGGGCTACGGCATCTGCACGCGCTGGTTCGCCGCCGAGGACGTCGCCGCCGTGGGCCGTTGCCGAGAGCGCGACCGCTACCTCGCAGAGGGGCGCGTCGGAGCTCGCGCGGCGGCGCTTGGGGCCGAGCCGCCCCCATGCGAGCCCCTTGGCGGAGAGGGCTGCTTGGGTCGCCTGGATCTCCAGCCTGATCCGCACTTTGCCGAGGTCCCCAGCTGCATGACCGACCCCGTCGCTTGGACGGTTGTCGGCGGCTGGAAGTTCGAGCAGCCAGAGGACATCATGGCCCCGGAGGTCCGCGGCATGCTGCGCGGGCTGGAGCGAGTGAGTCGCACCAGGTATGGTCGCAACATTCGCCAGCGTCTCTTTGCCGACAATCTAGGCCTCGTCTTGGCCGCAGGGAGGTGGCGATGTCGGAGTTTCAATCCTCGTGATTCTGCGCAGAATGGCGGCGTGGCGTCTCAGTCGTAACGTTCACCTCTCTGTGCGCTGGGTACCGTCTGAAAGGGGTCCAGCCGACGCCCCCTCCTCGCCTGTTTAATTTACGGTCGAATACGGTAGCCCCTAAGAGAGACGATGTTGACCGCCCCCGCCCCCGCACGCGCGCCCCCCCCCCCCCCCCACACGACGATTTGCAGGGCCCTGGTGAGGCGGGGGGACCCTGTGACCAGATGGATCCGTCTTTTGTCCACTTCCGTTTGCAGTTCCCCGAGACGCCTTGGCAAAGTCTAGGGGTTCTTGACAACCAGGCGTTGCATCGGGCCCCCAAGCATGAGCTTCCTCGTAAAGACAAGGCCCCCTCCGTAGACACGTTGGCTCACGCCTCTTCGTATGGCACCGCCCCAGTATATCTGCACCGCCAGAGTTCGGGTCTCAGCCTCGTCGCGGCCCGAAGTGCTGCCGACGGCTGCGCCGACCAGGAAGCGCCGACTGGAGAGTTCGCTGGGGCCGTCCGCATCACTGCAGCGCACTTCCCGTGTCCTCAAGGCGGAGGGCGAGTTGGGAGTCGCCGCTCTGGCCCGCAGCACCTGCGAGCCTGGCCTTGCGGACTCCGAGGTGGGACTTATCCTGGAGCAGCCGAAGGGGTTGATCAGGGCCGACCCGCGCTTCAGAGAGGCGTCGAGCTCGGACAGCGAGGGCGGGGCCACGGCTGCCGTTCGGCAGCGGACGCTCCCTCGTGGCAGGAAGGACGCGCTGACGAAGTTTCTGGCGCCCGAGGCGCTTCCAGAGCTCTCCCGCTTGACGCTCGGAGAGCGCGCGGCGGTGAGGCCTCGGACCGAGGCCCAGCATGCCCAGGAGGTGCACCAGTTCAGCCTGCCCTGTGGCGTCGAGCGTGCGACGGAGATCCCAATCGAGAAGCTGGACGATCTGCTGGTCCAGTACATCGATCATCAGATCAAGTCGGGAGCGACGGCAGCCCGCGGCATGAAGCTGTTGGCCGGGATGACCCACGCTCGGCCGCAGGCGGGGAAGCAGGGCCCACGCGCGTTGCAGCGCAGCTGGAGGGCGCTGAAAGGCTGGCAGAACCTGTGTCCCTCGACCTCCCGTCTGCCCGAGGCGTGGCCGAGTTGGTGTGCCATCTTGAACGGGCTGCGCGGCATGGGGCGGTGCAATCTGGCCTTGTTCATCTGTCTCATGTGGAGCACATGCGCGCGCCCCATCCAGCTGATGGCGCTCAAGCCCGAGTACCTGTGCGCCCCCAGCCGAGTCGCCGCTTACTGGACCGCCCAGTTGAACCCAGAGGTCGACGGGGTGCCCTCCAAGGCGAAGGAGTTCGACGTGACGATCGAGTTGGACCACGACTGGTGGGCCAGTCTGACTCCCATGCCCCAGGCTCTTCGATCTCGACCTCCTGGGGTGCGCGTCTGGACCTTCAGCTATCCCCAGCTGGCGGCTGCTGTGCAGAAGGTCGCCCGCGACCTGGGCTTCAACCTGGTGGTGTACCAGGCCGGGCACAGTGGCGCCAGCGCCGATATGGCCTCGCGTCGGCGCGCGCTGGCGGAGGTCAAGAAGCGGGGCGGCTGGAAGTCGGACCGCTCGGTGGCGCGGTGCGAAAAGGGCGCGAGGTTGAGTTCGACGTGGATGGCCCGTCCGAGCTGGCTACGGCAGCACGCAGCACAGTGCGAGGAACAGTTCGTGGAGATTTTGGTGCACGGCCGCGTGCTGCCAAAGCCCGCTTTGCATTCCCGATAAATGAGAGGCGCCTTTTCGTCCTTGTCGTGGGCCAGACTTTTGGCGCTCCCGCGCATGTCGTGGCCGCTGGTTTCCTCGTTCGGTATATCGATAATTGCGATGTGTCAGACTCTCTTTCGTCCAGGCCCAGGTCGGACATGCGAAGGGGGAGCACCGGCGGAGTCCTAATCCCCCTGCGTGAACAGCCCATCTCTCGGGGACTCGTTCGCTCAGTGTCGCGCGCGGAGGCTTTGGGCTTCCCTTGGCAGCCAGTTGCTGCAAGTTTGTGAGTGAGGATGCCACCGCTCTCCTCTTTATGCCCCCCTAAACCCCTGTCCTTCTCATATGTGTAGATACAAGGGGGCGTCTAGGCTGAGCGTCGCTACGTTTACCAGTAACTTTTCGCATAACGACGCTAACCGTCTAGGGTTGCAATGCCCTGGCGCTAGGGCTCGGGGCGGCCACAAGAAACACGCCCCCCGACCCCGCCCCCCAGAACTTATCCCCGCGTGTTTCCATCGAGCCGTCGTTTTCACAGTTTTGAGCGCCCTGCGGGCGCGATACCTTACGGTGTGAGAACAGCTTCTGTTTTGGGAATATGACTTGGGTGTGGTTTCAAGGAGGGGCGAGTTGAAGCACCCGCCTCTCCAGCCTCGGATCCGAGTCGCTTTGACCAGCGAGCAGAGTAGAGAGAACAGTTCCCCGCTGAAAACCAAGGGTAAGTCATGGGGGTGCGTGCGCAGTAATGACTTAGCGGGGTTTGGTGTGTCGGTCTCATCGATCCATGTTGCCGTTGCCCCGAAGTCATCCTGGCTCCCCTCCCTTCCGAGCCGCCTGGCTCGCCCTCCCTTCTCGCTTCGTTTCTGCCAGGTGTAGTTTCAAGGAGGGGCGAGTTGAAGCACCCGCCTCTCCAGCCTCGGATCCGAGTCGCTTTGACCAGCGAGCAGAGTAGAGAGAACAGTTCCCCGCTGAAAACCAAGGATAAGTCATACATATTCCTTGAGGAACGTTCCTGCTTCTCCCTGCCTGTCGCCCGATCGTCGGACGAGGATGGAGGACAGGAAGGGTGTTGATTTCTCGGCAGCATTCGGTTGGCTGCGGTCTGGTCCTCGCGGCAGAAAGCACCATCTTCATCATGTGGTCGACCTTTGCGTCCGAGTCTGCCGTTTCTGGTTCGTACTCTGCTACTCGACCACATCGCTCCCGAAACGAAAGGGTCGTCAGCATCATTCGATGTGTCTTCTCTGGCGCACTGCATCCTCGTCTTGGAATTTCCTCCATCCCTCCTGTAGGATCCATAGCTTTGGGCGTATCACTCCGTAGAAGTTAGGCGAGGTCTCGGTGGTGGAAACGAGCCATATCCCACGTCGGTGCGACACGAATTGCGGCAGCATGTGGACGAGGGCAGGATGTTCGCACCTGAAAGGGAACGACGCAGGCATCGGTGTCGGAGAAAGGGATGGAGTGATTGATGGGGCCGATGTGCTGCCATCGGAATCAAATGAACGCACAGTTCGATACGCAGTGTACGGAACCTCGAGATTCCCGTCGCCGTCGCTGAAGAAGGTTTCCTGGATCCGAGATAGGAGAAAACAGAAGGTCCCAGACGAGACTGATAACGAACGCGGCCATCAGGCCCCTCGTGGGAGGGAGACTCCAAGCGGAGTGCGGTGAGCGTATCGTGGGCACAAGCGGCAAAAGTCGAGGGAACCGAGTAGCAGCAGCACGGAATGTATGAACAAGGACATTAATGATATGTGAATATTTGAAGGGTGGTGTGAGAGAGGAGGAAAAAGGCAGATAGAGAGAGAAGACACAACAACACATACAAAACAATGAGGGAGAGAAAGGGAGAGGCAGGAACAGAGAGAGAGAGAGAGAGCGGAAATAGTACAGACATAGATAGAGAGAGAGAGAGAGAGAGAGAGAGAGAGAAAAAGGGAGAGAGACAACGGGAGGGGGGAGAGAGAGAGAGAGAGAAGGAGAGACGTATAGTATATACATAGAGGGAACAGAAACAGAGAGAGAGAGAGAGAGAAAACACAAAACGAAACAATGAGAACGAGGGGGAGGGAGAGAGGGAGAGATAGAGAGGAACGACCGCGACAGGCGGCAGGGCGTGTCACTGCCTGGCCGGCGCCAGGCGTTGCAGGGCTCGCAGCAGCTCGAGATCGACGGATCTTGTACCAAGGTGGCCATGGAGCCAAGCGGGAGGACGGATGACGGAATATTGACCAGGAAGAGGCCGAGGACTTCGGGGAGGACGAAGCAGAGGATAATGATTATGAATCACATTATCCACGTGCGCGTTCCCGCTTCCGTTGACTTGGCGAAGAGAAAACGATGCGGGCCGTGAGGGGGCGGGAGCGGCAACACTTCCGACGGGTGCAGAGAAGACGAATCATGCGCCGTTCTGACACAGCATTGCCATTTTCACTCACAAGCTGCGCGGCGCTTTTGCGAGGTCGGCATGTCGCCCGTGCTCGCACTGCCCCGAATGCCGCTGTCGTTTCAATGCGCTTCGGCGGACGAACCATGCGCAGCGCCCGATCTGGAATGCCACTTTCGACCGACATGCGCACAGAATTGGGCGAGGGCAACAAGTCGCCCACTCGCGCGGCCCCCCAAAGCTGGGAGCGACAAGCATTCGCCGCGTTGAGATGGGAACGCTACTTCCAGGCCAAATCTGTGCGGCGCCGAGGCGACATAGACATTTCCGCCCACTCGCGCGTCGACGAACATTTGTGCGAAAAACGTGCGCCGCGCCCAGGCGGGAACTCACTTCTTTAGAAATGAGCGCGGCGCCTGGCGAGAACGAGACTACGGCCTTTCGCACGGGATCCGCGCCCAGTTTCATAGTTGTTGCGCGCATGTTGCAGCATGGGCGACATAGTACCCATGTTGATACGGAAATGCGAGTTTCGCAGTGTTCCCAACCACCCTGTGGCGCTGGGTCCTCGGTCTGAAGAAACTGCGCCCCGCGTCCTCCTCCTCTCCACCTCCATCCTCTCATTCGTCCCTCCTCCCATACGTGTGTGTGCCCTCCGCATGTCCATGTTCCATGTCGGTACACCCTTCACACGTTTCGAGGCCCCATCAGGAATTCCAGCTGAGGCCACATACTACGGTAGGGTTCGCATGGCGTCGATGCAGAATTTCAATGGCGGCAGCCAAAAGAACAATGGGCTGACAATATTTTCGCACATGTCGAGACGCACGTTTGTGAACATACAGCAATTCTGAACGACATGGTGGAAGTAGCCCGTGCACCCGCCTGGGCAAAATGAAACATCGTTTTTTGAGTGAGGGTTTCTCCACATGGTAGCTGTTGTTTTTGTTTGCCGTCGTCGCCTTCGTCCTCCTCCTGCTCATCCGCCTCTTCCGTTACCCAGTTGCCGTGCGGACCGTCGCAACTTCACAGCTAGGCGTTGCTTTTCGTCGTCTTCCATATTCACATGTGGCTGGCGCTCCGGTACCAACTTGCCGGGCCCTCGCGGCTCACCCTGGCAACGCCGATTCAGATTTCTCATAAGTAACACGCTGCGTGGTTACGTAAGGAGCCCCAGCAAATGCCCCAATGCCAGGGTTCGCGTGGCGTCGGTGCTTCGTATCGGTTCACATCTCACATGTTTCGTGGCCCCACGGGGAATTCATGGCGTCGTTGTTTCATCTGGCACACCCCTCACACGTGTCGTGGCCCTATAACAAGCTCCAGCTAAAGCCCAAATGTCAGGGTTCGCATGGCGTCGGTGCTTCATGTCGGCACACCCTCACACGTTTCGTGGCCCCCTAGGGAACTCCAGCTATGCCCAAATGCCTGGGTTCGCATGGCGTCGATGCCGAATTGCGGCACACCCCTCACACGTTTCGTGGCTTAGTGGAAATCTCTAGCCGAAGTGCAAGTGTCAGAGGTGGCATGGCGTTGGCGCTTTATTTCTGCATGCCCATCACACGTGTCGTGGCCTCATGAAGGGGGATCAAGCTAAGGCCCGAATGCAAGGGTTCGCATGGCGTCGGCGCTTCATGTATACCCCTCACACGTTTCGTGGCACCACGGAGAGCTCCAGACAAAGCCCAAATACCAGAACTCGCACGGCGTCGGAGCCAATTTCGTCACATCCATCACGCGTTCCGTGGCCCCATAGGAAGCTCCAGCTGCTGCCGAAATGCCAGGCTTCGCATGGCCCCGAAAGCGATACTCTCAACGACGGTACTCACAACTGCATTGGGTCCTTCGCCTGGATGTTTCGCTGACAGGTCGGATGGGACCATTCGGATTGGACCATTCGGATTGGGTGGCCATCGGCCCGCTAGGTGTCAGAGTGGGAAGGAGAGGACGGGAAGAGGAGATGAGGACCAGCAGCAGCAGATGAGGAGGAGGAGACGGAGGAGTGAAGAGAGGAGAGTCCGCCAGGCCTGGGCACGGGTATGCCACATAACCCGCCACCGCGGCCGCCCATCGAGGAGTTGTCAATTGCGCGGTTGCTAGCTTCGATCCCCAGCCCGCAATGACAGGACGTGCGAAACCATTCCGCTGAAATGGACATCCTCAACGGAGCGAACCCGTTTTGGCGGGGTCTGTGACCCTGGTCGCCGTGCGTTGACGGCGCGGGCGGGCAGTGCCACTGCGGCACCATCCGTGGGAGAGATCTGCAGATTCTCTGTGGGGGGGGGGACAGGCCGTCACGCGTTTGCGGTGCCAGTGACCTTCATTTGTGCGCCCGAGGTGGGAAGCCGCCACCGCAATGCAAACGCACCAGAGACCTCTCAGAAGTCGCGGTTTCCAAACGTCTTGAGCTGCTCCGGACCACTCAGTGTCACGCAGTGCTGGAGACGCTTCGGGTAGGCTCGGGGGGCTTTGGCAGAGCCTGGGCCATTGGGGGAAATCCTTGGGAAACATCCCGGGGGGCCGTGGGAAGCTTGCGGACGGCGTTTTGAAGGTGCCAGGTGCAGTTGTGCTGCACCGCGCTGCTGCTGGAGAGTCTTGCATCTCTGCCACACGTCAACGGTCTAAGTCTACACTGCTACAGTGCTGCAGCGCTGCACTGCCATTACCATTCTGCAGGGATTGGTCCACCAGGTTCCTGCTGGAGGGTCGCGCGTCGCTACATCGCGATAGTTTTACAGTGCTGCGATGCTACATCGCTACAGGGCTGCAGCGCTTCAGAAAGTTCGTCTCACGTGCTGCCGCCGCTGCAGCGCGGCAGAGCTGTAGTGTCAGAGTGCTGCAGCGCTGCAACTGTGGTGCTTGGACTGGCCTCGCCGGCGCAGAGGGAGCATCCTCAGTGGCGGCGCTGTCCAGGCCAAGGGGGTGGGCGGTGCCACGCCGTGAGGCGTCCCAGGTGTGTGCACGAGCGTTCACGGATCTGCGAAAGAGGCAAGCCATCAGGACTTCGAAGGCGGAAGGTGTACCGCGATCAGGAATCCCTCTCCGCGTCCCCCTCTCTCGCCCCTCTTCCGTCCCCCCTCTCCTCCAGACTTTCTCCCTCTCCATCTCCTTCTCCCTGCTCCCCTGTTCCCTGCCTCGTAAGGTGCGGCGCAGAGGGGATTGGAAGAAGTTCGTGATGACGGGGCCGTAGCCCGGGTAGGTGGCTCGGCGACGTCGCCAGCAGCCCCCTTGCCCGAACGCGGGCGCGGTGGAGATTGCCCTTGTTTCTGTCTGTTTTGTTTTGTTCGTTCGTACTCCCCCTCATCCCCTTTTTCCCCCTCCTCCTATTCCTTCTCTCTCTTTTCGCTCTCCATCCTGTTGCCTCTTTGGTTCCTCTCCTTGGGGTGGGTGTGAATCGGTGAAGCTAAGATGACGGAGCCGATGGCTGGGGTGGGTGGACGCCATCTTTTCGCTCCACCGCGCACGATGTGTTATTTAACCGAACCTGAAGGGTGGGCCCCTTCTCTCTGATTGATTCCAGCGGGGCCTCTTCAGGCCCCCAATGCTGACGCGCGCGCCCCACCTCGCTGTGGACAGATTAGCATCTGGGTTTGCGAACCGCGCCGCCGATTCCGATCCTATGTCCCTTCCTTCCCTCTCTGGCCCTTCCGCTCACAACTCACTGCCTGCAGGGTGCTGCTTGTCATTGCGCTCGCTTTATGGCTGTGTTCGCCATGGATACCCGTGGTCGCCACGGCTGGACATGGGGAGATGGAGGAGGAGGATAATGCTGATATTTCTATTGATCATGTTGATACTGTTCATGATGTTGGTGGTGGTGATGGTGACGATGAGGATGTTGACGATAACGATGACGATGACGCTGCTGATGATGAGGAGGATGATGGGGTGACGACGACGATGATGGCGACGACGACGTCGACGATGATGATGATGATGATGATGATGATGATTGTGCTGCTGCTGATGCTGAGGGAGGCGAGGGCGAGGACGATGATGATGATCATGAGGGAACATACTATGATGTTGTTGCTGTTGCTGCTGCTGATGGTGATGCTGCTGCTGCTGTTGATGATGATGGTGATGATGATAGTGATGATGTGGTAATGGGGAGGAGGAGGAGGAGGAGGAGGAGGAGGAGGAGGGGGAGCGCGGAGAAGGGAACATCTGACAAATGGCGATCAGGACGACGCCCAGGAGAAGTGCTCGGAATGATTCGCATCAACATGAGGTTTTGCTCAGGGGTGAGATCACACAGTGCCCATTACCTAGATGCGGGGGATGGGAAGAGATGGAGATAGACGGGGGCTGGAAGGCAAGAGCGGAGAATAAATTCTTTGACATGATGCAGGGATTTTTCTCGTCTGCGCCTCCTGGCATCATGTTCAGTAGCCTGCTGTGCTCGAGGAAGGGGAGGGGGCGGGGGGTCTCGCTGCCCCCTCGCGAGCGCAGATTGATCCCGTCGATACCTTGAGAACGAGCGGCACTGGATTCCCAGACGAGGCGATGCGGGAGCCATGGCCAGCTCGCCTGCTGCTCCCGCTGGCCCCGCCTCCGGCCGAGGCCCCGGTGGTGCCTTCGGCGGCGCCTGAGCTTCGCGTGCTGGCAGCCCCAGCGCCCAAGCGACAGATTTGGTCGACTAACATCAGGTTGAAGGGGGGCTGAGCCTGTCAGTATGATCTTCGCGGAGTGCGGTTCCACAGTGTTGCTTGTTTGGGGTGTGGGGGGGCAGGATCTGTTTTCACACGTCAGGCATGTGCATCATCATGTATGCACTTTCCGAAGGGCGAGCGAAGTTAACAAATCGTCCCCCATTTTCGTTGGAAGGGCAATGTGAAGGGCGAGCGAGGTTAACAAACTGTCCCCCCCTTTCGTTGCTGATCCCGCGGAGACCGTTAAGATGGCCACAGCTCGTGACGAGCGATCGTCGTCGACGTCCTCACCAGCATCGCCGTCGCTACCCATAGCCGTGGGCTCGAGACATGGGGCCCGCAAGACACCATCATCAACCAAGCGGAGCTCCAGTGCGGCACTCTTTGTGGCCGCCACTTTTGCCGAGGAGCTCCGCGGGCAAGATGTCATTTGGTGTGTGGACAACACTTTTGTGGCCACGTCTCTGGTCAAAGCCAGCTCCCCGACAGCCACGATGTGCCGCTTGGCATTGCAGGCATCGGCCATGTTGGCGGCCCTAGGCTGCAGGTGCTGGTTTGAGCATGTACCCAGTACTGACAACCCCGCGGGCGTCCTGTCCAGGGACGCGCTGGACGACCCAATCGTGGCCTCGATGAGGGACTTTTCGCCAGCCTGCTTCCAGCCTTGTTTTCCCACCTGACGTACCAGCAGCTGCGGCGCTGGACTGGGGACGCCGGGCAATAATGACTGTCGTCTTTCGCTGCTGTTGCCGCCGAAAATGCTCAAGCATCTCCCTCCCCTCTTCCTCCTAACCCGCACCCCTCCTGCGGGTCCCTGAAGCCTCCGAGCACCTCTGCGGCGTGGCCCCAGGCCTAGGCGCCGTCTCCGCCGCGAGCGGCCGGCCCCGTGATCGAAGAGGATGGTGGCGGGGGGTTAGGAGGGAGGAGGGGGGAGGATAGAACGTGACAACATATAATCATATTGGGAGCATTTTGACGCAACGAGTAGGCCACGAAGTTCGGCCCCAGAATCTGGCCGAAGGTGCAGAAGTGGCGTTGCGCAAGCGGCGCCGCTGACCCTCGCGCTCAAGCTCTCTCATTGGCCCGTTTTCTCCGCTGCCGTTGCGGGTGGCGTTGGGAGTGAGACAGAGCCTTGCGAAGAGGAGGGGGGGGGGGGGGGAGCGGCGTTCGGGGGAAAACGTCACTGCGAAGGTCCCGCATGGGACCCGTGTTAGTCGGGGCTCGTCTTCCTCTTCGCTGCGCTAGCTCTGTTCGGGGGGGCGGCGGGGCTCCAATGGTCCACGCCCCCTTTGAGACACGCCCCCGTCGTCCCACTGCCGTCGTTTGCCCCCGGCCTCATCTTTGCCTTGGCCTCCTGTCCCAGCCCCTTGGGAACAAGGCCAAGGGGCGACGCCGCGAAAATGGTCGAATGACATCCGGTTGAAGGGGGGCTGAGCCTGTCGCGATGATTTTCGCTGAGAGGGGTTCCACAGTGCTGTTTGTTTGGGGTGTGTGTAGGGGGGGGGGGGGGGGCAGGATCTGTTTCCACACGTCAGGAATGTGCATCATCACGCATGCATTTTCCGAAGGGCGAACGACGTAAACAAATCGCCCGCCCCCCTTTTCTTTGGAAGGGCAATGTGAAGGGCGAGCGGGGTTAACAAACTGCCCCCCCCCCCCCTCTCCGTTTCGTTGCTGATCCCGCGGCGACCGCCAAGATGGCCACAGTTCGTGACGAACGATCGTCGTCGACGTCCTCACCAACATCGCCGTCGCTACCCATAGCCGTGGGCTCGAGCCTTTGCGAAACTTCCCCTGGGCCCTCCCGCCCAGCTTCGTCGTGGATTTGTTCGCGCCTCGTGTGGGGTAACGCGACGCGCGGGCCGGTGTCCCATGGCACGTTCCGGATATTTACGGCTCTGGGGCTAGTTGCCCCACGGCGCCATTTTTCGACCACGTAGCTACGTGGCTCGGCGCTTTGCCGGTTGCCGGGGAGGGGGGGGGGGGGGGGGGGGGGCGCTGCAGCACGCAACATGACGCTTCATTTCTGCCGCGGCCCCTTTACGATGGCAGCCTCCAGGAGGACGCCCGCATCGCATGTGTGGCGCGGGATGCCCCCACTACCCGCGCATTTTCGCGCGCGGGGGGGGGTGGGCGTTCCTGCGAAGGTCCCGCACGGGGCCCGTTCTAGTTGGGACTCGTCGTCTTCTTCGCTGCATTAGCCCTGTTCGGGCGGGCGGCGCAGTTCCAATGGTCCACGCTCCCTTCGAGACGCGCCACCGTCATCCCACTACCGTCGCTTGCCCCCGGCCTCATCCTTGCCTCGGCCTCCTGTCCCAGCCCCTTGGGATGAGGCCAAGGGGCTAGCATGGGGAATGGCATTGGTTTTCTTATATTGACACCGAGAATATCGCACGCACAGGCCAACCAGGAAGGCGCGGACGGGTTAGCGCCAACGCTTCACGACCAGAATGTGCGAGAGGCTGCAATCAAGAAGTGGGTGGTGGCAGTCCCCGTAGCGCGCCGACGCAGTCAGCTACGAACCGAGACCGCGCCAACATAATAATTCCACCAAGCGGTCACCGATATCCTCGAAGTGATACAACCTACGATTATGAGCAAGCGAGCAGGGGCGATGCAACCCGTTTCCTTTCACCTCTTTGATTGGTTCATGGTGGCGAGTAATGAATTTCCATCGAGGGATATATCTTGGCAGGGAACATGGGATTATATATATATATATATATATATATCAGGAGGCGCGCTCGGGCTAGAGGGAGCGGATATTGTTCTAGCGTCGAGTACGAGGGGCTTTGCGGCGCGGGGGCTCAAGAGGAACAAGCCGCAGAGATGGCGAGCGCCTTTCAAAGCTGCGCAGTTGCTCCAAGCGGGCGACGTCTTCATTGATGGGCACCCAGCGTCGTCGGAAGCGGAGATTGTGGTGTTCGGCTTCTTTGTTTTTATCCACGTCAGGGGGCGCTTTGGAGATTGCGCCCGGGTCTCTGGCGAGCCCTCGCTGGATCAGGGAACATTGGGGTTCATTGGAGTTGCAGCCAATGTCGGGCGACCACAACACGGGGCACGCGGCGCGGAAGGCTGCAGAGTTCCTACCGTTGGTCGTGCTCGCGCTCGGGGTGTCTAGCAGACCCTTGACGGCGGCGCGGCTCCGGCGACGCTTCGAGGTGGGCGCGAATGTGGGGGGGGGCCGCTGCCTGACCCCCCTCCTACGGAGCGACGACCGACTTGGCGACGCCAGGGCGGGCACTGCGGGGGGGCGCAGCACATCGGCAGCGTGTTCGGATGGGAGCCAGACGACCTGCAGGGAATTGGCGCACACTCTGCGACAGCAGCCCTGTTAAATTGGTGCGCCAAAACTTGGGTGAACAAGGGGCAGAACCGCCCCATGGGGTCGCCCGCGGAAGAGATCGACCGCAGCCTCTCCGAGTATTCCAGGGACTCTTTGGCAGGCCCCTTCCGGGACCTAGAAGGCGCCCTTGTTTCCGCGCGGGAGAGCAGGTTTGACCCAGACCAGACCATGTCCAGAAAAGCAAAACCCTCG